ACAGTTAAAGAAAGATAAAGGTGGTAGGAACCTTCCATGCTAAGGGAATATTTCTATGCTGCCCAACTGAGGCCTCTGTGTGCATGTGCTCTCCTGCTTACGGGGCGGGATGGAAAGATCTGGGGAGGAAATCAATTGAGGGAAACCATTGAAAGCTCTAATGCAGATACAAAACTGCAGGGTAAAATTAATATACAAGATGACCACTTATTAAATACGATGATTATTGGCCTGGAATGAAACTCTTAAGTTATGTCATCTAGAGAGGGACTCACATTTTGAGATGGTGTGCATACGATTCTGAGTTTACCCCCAAAAATATGATGATAGTTCAAAGTTTGGATTTCAAAGGATTAACTGATTATAAATCATTTGTCCACAATGGGGCATTTCAGGCTTTTGACACTTTAAAACAGAAGCATGGACTGCGCTCTGAGGATTTCTTCAGGTACCTGCAAATAAGGCACTACTTCACTCAGAAAATTACAATTCCCTCAGCCGATCAGGGTTTCTTACAAATATTTATGTCGCTAATAAAATCATCTCCCACAAAAATAGTTTCGAAATTGTATAATGGCATCCTGTTGGGTAAGGAGGGGAGCACATATTATATCAAAGAAAAGTGGGAAAGAGAGGGAAAGTTTACAATGACAGAAGAGGATTGGGAGCACATATGTCAAATCCAGTGGATCTCAACAGGGTCAAATACATGGCGTGAATTTTGTTGGGAAAACCTAATGAGATTTTTNAGTGATTCTTTGGGATAACTCTTAGGCAGTAATGAGGGTAGAATTATAAGTATCTCCTCTTATCAAAAGAAACCAACCAATACAAACTTGTATGCTTGGAAAAATTGTTAAAATTCAGCGTGTGCACTCTAAAACTATGAAAAACGAAATTAAATCTGAAATTATAAAATTGAAAAAAGAAATTGATGATATCAATACGTTGGCGGTACAGAAAAAGCTTGTTTTTACAAAACAACAGTTATGAATCAGGTGGAGATCTCTAAAACGTCTATCTTATATATTGAAGAAACAACAAGCAGAGAGAACAATACATAAAATAAAAAACCCCTTAAATAACAATTAGAAACTGAACAGGAGAAAATTCAGCATGTTTTCAATACTATTATAAAAATCTTTACTCTCAATTTGCACAAATATGTGAGCAGATGATACGTTCTTGACCAATAGATTTACCAACCTTGTCAGAAGAACAAAATAAGAAACTTCTTGCCTGCAAAACTAAAGAAGAAATTCATTTAGCAATTGGGAGACTGAAAAGAGGAAAGATGGCGGAGCAGATGGTTATGGGCCTGAGTGGTACAAAAAATGGAGGATCACTTGATTCCAACCTTATTGAAGACTTTTAATTGGTGATGGAGAGGAAAGAAATACCAAAATCTTGGAATGAGCAATAATTTCCAATTATACTAAGGAGGGAAAGGATAGACTAGAGTGTAGTAATTACCGCCCAATTAGTGTTTTAACATTGACTACAAATTATTCACATCAATATATCAAAGCGATTGGAAACAATCTACCAACAGTTGATCCATAAAGATAAACCGGTTTATCAAACAAAGACAAACACAGGACGGCATCAGAAGAGTTCTGCACATAATGCAGCAGGTCGTTAAACAAAAGCAGGAGACATTAGTGATCAGCCTTGATGCTGAAAAGCGTTTGACTCAGTGAGGTGGACCTTCTTGTACAAAGTACTTGGCAAGTTTGGCTTTCATAAATCAATAATTGAGAAATTTCAGGGTTATACAACAACCGACCGCTAGAATTAAAATTAATGGGACCTTACTGAGCCATTGCCTCTAGAAAGAGGGACTAGACAAGGTTGTAATATGTCCGCACTATATTTGCTTGTATATTGAACACTTGGTCAATGGATAAGGCAAAGAAAAGATATCAAAGGGTAACAATTGCAGGAGGGAGCAAACTGGCGTTATTTGCTTGATGATATTATTGACCATATCTCACCCAACGCAACCCTACCCTAGTGATCAGAACACTTGAAAGAATACGGTGCTTTTTCAGGGTACAAAATTAACGTAAACAAACTAGATATTGATTTAAATTATGACCCACCTCAAAATATTAAAAATGATTATAAATGGAAATGGGATGCAGATTGTATTAATATTTAGGAATTGTACTACATACAGATTTCACTAAGATGTATGAAGTAAATTATGGACCTCTTAACATTAAATTGCACCGGATATACAAAGATGGAAACTATACCTTTCTGGATTTACATTCGAGGATCGACTCTATCAGAATGAATGTTCTTCCTCGAATGTTATATCTGTTTCAGTGTTTGCCATTTACTATACCACATAAACAGTTTGCAGAATGGGACAAGATGATATCAAGATACATATGGAAAGGTAAAAAAGCTAGAATTAAGTATAAAACCTTACAGTTAAAGAAAGATAAAGGTGGTAGGAACCTTCCATGCTTAAAGGAATATTTCTATGCTGCCCAACTGAGGCCTCTTGTGTGATGTGCTCTCTGCTTACGGGGCGGGATGGAAAGATCTGGGAGGAAATCAATTGAGGGAAACCATTGAAAGCTCTAATTGCAGATACAAAACTGCAGGGTAAAATTAATATACAAGATGACCACTTATTAAATACGATGATTATGGCCTGGAATGAAACTCTTAAGTTATGTCATCTAGAGAGGGACTCACACATTTTGAGATGGTGTGCATACGATTCTGAGTTTACCCCCAATAAATATGATGATAGGTTCAAAGTTTGGATTTCAAAAGGATTAACTGATTATAAATCATTTGTCCACAATGGGATTTCAGGCTTTTGACACTTTAAAACAGAAGCATGGACTGCGCTCTGAGGTTTCTTCAGGTACTGCAAATAAGGCACTACTTCACTCAGAAAATTACAATTCCCTCAGCCGATCAGGGTTTCTTACAAATATTTATGTCGCTAATAAAATCATCTCCCACAAAAATAGTTTCGAAATTGTATAATGGCATCCTGTTGGGTAAGGAGGGGAGCACATATTATATCAAAGAAAAGTGGGAAAGAGAGGGAAAGTTTACAATGACAGAAGAGGATTGGGAGCACATATGTCAAATCCAGTGGATCTCAACAGGGTCAAATACATGGCGTGAATTTTGTTGGAAAAACCTAATGAGATTTTTCATTACACCAGTACAAAAGAGACACCAAGGAATAGGTGATGCCTGCTGGAGATGTGGGAATGATGGGGCTAATCACTTCCATATTTTTTGGGAATGTGGGGTCATCCAAGAAAACTGGTCAGAGATTCATCAACATCTGCAGGGTGTTTTTTCATGTGTTTTCCCCCTGTCATTTGTAACTTTGTACCTTGGTAACTTAGCGTTAGAGGCTTTAGCAGCACAAATAAGAGACGACTCTATATTCTACTGGCAGCAAGTAAAAAGGCAATAACAAGGAAATGGCTTAAACCTGAGCGACCAACAATTGAGAACTGGATTGACATTGTGCAAGAGATCTACATGATGGAAAAGATTTCATTTTTACTGAAAGTGCAGCTGGACTCTTTTTACAAGATGTGGACTAGGTGGACAGAATATGTAAAGCCAGTGAGATCAGACTTCATATAAAACTACTTCATAGTTGCAATATTCTGTTAAATTGTGAAAGAGGTTCCCTGGCTCCACAACCTGTTCTGAGTTTGTATATGTTTTAAAAAAATTGTAAGAGCAGGAACATGTGATTTAATTTTACACACTGCAAAATGTAATCTGCTTTTTCAATAAAAAGTTAATTTGAAAAAAAAAAAAAACAGGTCTAAACCAGGACTAAACCAGGACTCAACCAGACCTGGACCAACCAACCTGGACAACCAGGCAGACCAGGACTCAACCAGGACTCAACCAGGACTCAACCAGGACCAGACCTGCAACAGACCAGGACTCAACCAGGACTCAACCAGGACTCAACCAGGACCAGACCTGCAACAGACCAGGACTCAACCAGGACTCAACAGGACTCAACCAGGACTCAACCAGGACCAGACCTGCAACAGACCAGGACTCAACCAGGACTCAACCAGGACTCAACCAGGACTGAACCAGGACTCAACCAGGACCAGACCTGCAACAGACCAGGACTCAACCAGGACTCCAACCAGGACTGAACCAGGACTCAACCAGGACCAGACCTGCAACAGACCAGGACTAAACCAGGACTCAAACCAGGACTCAACCAGGACTCAACCAGGACCAGACCTGCAACAGACCAGGACTCAACCAGGACTCAACCAGGACCAGACCTGCAACAGACCAGGACTCAACCAGGACTCAACCAGGACTCAACCAGGAACTAACCAGGACCAGACCAACGGACTCAACCAGGACCAACTGGACCAGGACTCAACCAGGACTCAACCAGGACTCAACCAGACCAGGACTCAACCAGGACTGAACAGGACCAGACCAGACCAGGCTCAACAGACCAGGACTCAACCAGGACTCAACCAGGACCACCAGGACCAGACCAGGACCAGGATCTCAGGACCAGGACTCAACCAGGACTGAACCAGGACTCAACCAGACCAACCAGGACTGCAACAGACCAGGACTCAACCAGGACTCAACCAGGACTGAACCAGGACTCAACCAGGACCAGACCTGCAACAGACCAGGACTAAACCAGGACTAAACCAACCAATCAACCAGACTGCAACAGACCAGGACTAACCAGGACTAACCAGGACTCAACCAGGATACAGACCAGGACTAAACCAGGACTGGAACCAGGACTAAACCAGGACTGAACCAGGACTCCAGGACCAGACCTGACACAGACCAGGACTAAAAGGACAACCAGGACTGAACCAGGAAAACCAGGACTGAACAGGACTAAACCAGGACTGAACCAGGACTGAACCAGGACTGAACCAGGACTGAACCAGGACTGAACCAGGACTGAACCAGGACTGAACCAGGACTGAACCAGGACTGAGTCAGACCTTTGTAGATGCGGCCCAGGCCTCTATAGTCCATCTGGTCGGAGCAGTTGAACACGACCACGTACTTCCCCAAACACCGACCCATGTCTTTGGTCGTCTCCGTTTTACCTGCACACAAAGAGACAGGAGCGCACCTGACACACAGGTAACACACCTGACACACGGGGAGCGCACCTGACACACGGGGAGGGCACCTGACACACACGGGGAGGGACCTGACACACACGGGGAGGGA